GGATGCCAGCACTGCAGGTGGCGGCTTTATCCGCTACACCACAGTGCCGGTCCCCTTACTTTTAATTTTTGCAATGACATACGTGCAATTTTCATTATAATCACAAGCATAATCACCCACCACATGAAGAATTCAACAAGTAGTAAGTAGAAAAGCCATTGTTCCTCAGGAATATAATCAAATATATAATCAAATTTCAAAATATCAACTTCACTCATATACCTCTTTTGGTATTCTGTGTATTAGTCACCACAAATCATAGAAAACGTAGTATTTGTCTTTTTGGGACTGGGGTGATGGTCTCCAACTCATTTATTATGTTGTGAAAGTCACATGGCTGAACAGTATTCTATCATATATATATGCCACATTCTTTACCATCAGTTTATGGACAGGCCTAAGCCAAATGCCTGCCCCTGCCTAAGTATTTTAAATAATACTCCCTGCTCACATCTCACCTGGACCATGATGTTATCACTGGACGCTGCCTCCTGGGCCTCATTCACCCAGCGCTTGACCACATCAAAGCTGCACTTCAGCAGGTGCTGTGGACGACAGGGCATGTTAAGGGGCAGGCAGGAGAGATGCTTTTCCTGTCATACTTCCTGGGCCTGGCTCTCGAGCTTCCCTCAGATTCAGCTCAGGGCCTTACCACTGTCTGGTCTTGAAATTGTGAACAAATTCAATATGACACCTACTCCTAGTCTCACTGCTCTGGCAGATTTCCTGCCAGACCCAAATTCCAACAGCCTTTCACCCCAAGGGACATTAAGGCCATTCACCTGGGCCCCTCCGCAATCAACCCAGAGTTCCCTGGCTCTCTTCACTGAGAAGGTGGGCAGGACCCTCAGACTTGAGAATACAAAACCATGTTTGTTTTCCCTAAGGGAAACTGACTCTGACATTTTCCTCAATTTTCCACCCCATCCCCAGCAGGCACTCAGCAGCAGCTACACACCAGGGAAGACACCAGGGCAGAGCTGGAGACGCTGGGCACCTTGTCCACGATGGCCTGTTTCATGTAGCGCTCAATAGCCTGCAGCATGGTGCTCTGTGGGGACAAGGAGATGGTGGGAGGCGATGTAACGAACTCTCAGCAACACTAATGATGCAGACAGTGAGGTGTGGGGGGAGGATGGGAGTAAAGTTTTTCCACCTCCCCCGCACCACCTGGCTCAGTGAAATGGGGGACAACTTGAAGTGTGCAAACGATCTGGCCAACGCCTTGACCAAGCAGCCAGGAAGCAGGCAAAGGCAGCAGTACTCACGTCAGTGATCTGGCAGAGGGCTCGCACGGCAGGGCCCCTGTAGTTGTCCTCCTTCCCGGTCATGTCTTTTGTCAGGCTGCAAGGGAGAAGGTGCTGTCAACACATGCGGAAATTGGCCCTGTCCATCCCTCTGCAGTTCCTGTCACCCTGCATGACTACACGAGTCTCCTCTGTGTTCTCCACCCAAATTCCACACAGCACCTGGTGGGATCTTTATAAAACTCAAAATTGGCCAGGTCACTCCCCTGTTTTCACCAAAGCATTCCCATGTCTTCCTACTGCTAGTGACTGCGAGCAGAACAGGAGACAGACAAAGGCCCACATGCCATGCTCTCTCCTCCTAGGCCTTGGAGCTATTTCATCAGCTTGGAGCACTCTTTACCTGTCACTTCCATTTTTGTCCTGCAACTGCTTACTGGTCCTTCAGTTCTCCTCGGACTCTTGTTTTGGGAGGTTTTCCTAGTCCAGATTCAAGCTGAGTACCCTTCTAGTCTGTCCTCCCACTCTGTAATACTTCCTGGGATAAACTACATTACACAGATCTCGATGGTCTGGCCATTTCTCTGTAAATTCAAGGGCCCCGTACAGGTCGTAACTGTCAAGTTTGTTGCTATATCCCAGAGCTACACACAAGGACTGATACAGAGTATTTTCTAAACAAATCTACAATGTCTGACATCCCTTCCAAACTGTGGCAAGAAGAAATAAGAAAATGGAATCCCAGTTCTAAAGGGCAGGGAATTACACTTAAATTACACATATATCCTGAATCATTCAGCTTGATACAGAAACCAGTACTTAGGACGCAAGCCTGTTCACTCACCTCTTGCATTCTCTACACCTATTTTTCTAGTGTTCTTTCTGTGTACTCACTGAAGTCTTTGAGAAAGTTCCAGGCTGGCTCTGTTGACTAGCAGTAATTAGGGAAATAATATTTGTGTATAAAACAAGGCCAGAGAAGTCAAAGGGAAAAGGCTCACTCTGGAGGGCTGCCATGGGGGAGTCAGCAGTAACTAAACAGTGACGGAGACAGAAAGGGAATGGGCAGCTGGCAATAAGCAAATGAAAATCTCACTGCCAACACACAGGAGGAAAATGGCCTCTGTCAAGGGAAACCATCAGAGGAGCCAAGCACAGGCTCCATTCTCACCTGCTGGTGACAATGATGACGTCTTCTGCGATGCAAGACATCTCCTTGATGGTCAGGTAACACATCCGACGGAGTGTGGGCTGGGGAGGAGACGGGAAAAGTCCTATCAGTCCTGCTTCAGTGAAAGGGCCAACGTCAGAAGAATCCTCCAACCTACACAAACGTACCCCTCACTGATGGGTGTGGCCAGTTTCCCTTGGCCTTCCCACTCCCCAGCCACCTGGCACCTCTCCAGAAAAGCTGGGGTTGGGGCACTTACATCGTTGGACTGAAAGAGTTTGGTCATGGCGAAGAAGGCTTCGGTGGCTTCAGTGGTCCCCAAGTGCTCCCCCTGCGGTAATCGAGAAAGAAGTGTCAGGGCTGGCAGTGTGGTGCAGTGCATTAAGCCACTGCTTGAGACACTGGCATCCCTTATTGGAGTATGCAGGTTCAGGACCTGGCTGCTCCACTTCTGATCCAGCTCTCTGTTAACTTGTCACCCACGTGGGAGACCCACATGGAATTCCTGACTCCTGACGTCAGCCTGGCCCAGCTCTGGCTGTTGCAGACATTTGGGGAGTGAACCAGCCAGTGGCAGATCTTTCTATCTCTCCGTTTCTGTCTGTCACTCTGCTTTTCTAGTAAACAAATAAATAAATCTCAGCTCGGAACAGAGGGGCCACATGGTACTTCCTGCTGGAGCAGCCCAGGCCAGATCCTCAGATCCTGCAGAGGCTCCACTAGAAACAACACATCAGAGTTGGACTCTGAGGGGCCCCAGAGCTGGGCCACTGGCTACAACCACACAGAGGCTGTCAAACAGCCAAAGGGTAACAACGAGCTGTGCACCCCTCCGAACACCATCCACCCTCAGCCTTACCCCATTACCTGGTTTATGAGGTAAAGGATCTTGGTGAGGATGTGGGCACATTTCCGAGGGTTGATGGGAGTTTCATTAAATACACGGGCCTAAGAAGCAACGGCAGATATTACTTCCTAGCACATTCAAACTCTGAGAAGTCCCAAGGTCAATAAACACACTTGCCGAGACAAGCTCATTTTCATAAGAAAAGAATTTTTTAAAACTCATCTAATAATAATTCCTGAAATCCTCTCTTAATACTAGTTAGGGATGAACTATAAACATGGTTACCTAGAAAGAGAAATGAACAAGAACAAAAACAGCAGCACAACAAACAGGGCTGCCCTGCCTTTCCACGCACAGGTTTCCTCTCCTATTGCTGTTAAACCGGCACTGTGACCGTGACAGTGAGTCGCCCGCCTGGACGGTGAACCCCCATGATGGGACAGACAGGAGCACATGACACTTGCCTCCTGGAGCACGGCACTCTTCTCAAGATGCTGGAAGGGGTTGGAGCCTCCACCTACAGTCAAGAAGAGTGGAGACACATGAAACGCATGACATCTGTATATCTTCAATAAAATTCAAAAGAAGAAGAATTGAGAAGACATGTTGCTACCCTGAATTTCAAAACTCTCCAGGAGACAGGGAAGCGAAAGGTGTCCCTACTATTTATCTAGTAGAGTTCAAACCCCTCAGGAACGGCAACCAGGGCTCCACAGTCTGTCTAGAGATCCTACTCTCAAGGGGACAGAGCTCTGCTCCAAGCTGCCAATCATCAGCAGCCCTGGTATAGTCCTGTGTCTCTCATTCATGCATTAACTGACTCCCTATGCCTCACTACCACGTTTCCTCCAAAGCACCTTATGTTTATCATTAACCGTATGTGTGATTATCTGGCTGCTGTCAGTCTTCTCCACTCTGCCTACTCCCATCCTAATATTCCCAGCGCAGGCACGACAGTCCCCTTGTTCCCCGCAGTACCAGGACACGGTCCAGTGCCCGCCCGACGTGTGCTTGTGGAATCAATGAATGAAAGGGGCAGGACAGGGTCTCTGACGACTATGCCTCATCGTAGCCAGCCCGAGTGCAGGCCTGGCGATTCCTTGGACGGAGGAAGTAAAAGGAGAGCATCTGACCAGTGCCCTCTTCTGACATAACAGGGAAACTGAGGCCCACGGAGGGGCAGGACCTGCCCAAGCTGACCCAGAGGATCGCTGCCCAAGCCTACGAGCGTGGGTTGGAAGGAAGGGTAGCAGAGGATACTCGGGGTCTGCAGAAGCCCGCGGATGACCCACTGCAGACCTCTGCACAAGCCCCCGCCCCCAAGGGACCTCGTCGGCCTTAGGGTCAGCACCGAGGCCCAGGAGGACTCCCAGAAAGGGTCCAAGAGCTTGAGCGGAGGCCCCGCCTCTCTCAGGCCTCCGCCTAGGCTAGCTCACCCGATTCCTCGTCCTTTTTGTCGAACTTCTTCAACATGGTGGTGCCGGGGTAGACGCCACGCAGCAGCCAAAACTTGGGCAGGCTCACTTTCGAGCGAAGGTCCGACGGCAGTTCCACTCGGACCACTTCCGGGCTCCGGCCGGCCACGTCGCCCGGCAGCCTGCGCAGGCGCGCTCCGCGCCCTGCGCATGCGCATCTGCGGGCCGCCGCCGTCCCGGCCGGCGTTAACCCTATCCCGGCCGGGGCGGAGGGGGCCGGGGCGGGGGGCGGGCCGGCTTTGACCAAGACCCGCTGGCGCGATGATCTGCGCCTCACACCCTCCTCCTTTGTGCGACGGCAGTTGGCGGAGCAGTCCCTGCCCGAGTGCGTTAAATGTGAGGTCCGTAGCACGCAGGCCCGCAGTAGTACCCAGTGACTGACAACCGTTGTTACTGTAGTCCCCGCGGAGGCCTCCTGGCCGCCCCTCACTTCAGTCCCTTTCCCTTGCCCGAGTGCCCTCCGCAGCCGGCACCACCGTCTCGCACCCTCTGTTTTTATTCACTGCAGCGGCGAAGGCCGGCGCACGGTAGTTGCTGAGCCCTTGTTGAATGATTGAATGGGACCCCGGCTTTGCAGCTGGGACTCCTACCCGCCCCTCCCTCCCTGTCACGTCTGCTCCCGGTGCAAACTGTTGTGCGCTTTATTCGCTTTCAGGGCTCGAACTTAAAGTCAGGGGTCAGCATGGAACTCCAGGGTTGCTTTTTGGATCCTTTGGGTGTTCCCCGGCTAGATGTGCCCCGCCCCCCAGCACCGGGGTGACAGGGGACGGGAAAGGGAAAAGACACCTCAGCCACCACGACCTACGCCAGACGCCGGGAGGCGGAGGTAAGCAAACTGCATTCGCACCGCGGGGAGATGGGGTCCTCGGAGTGTGGGGTGGGGCGGAGACCCGCAGGTGGAGCAGGTGAGAGTGACAGCGAAGCAGGGGCGAGGCAGAGAGACAGCAGGGTCCTTAGGGTCCAGCTTTGCAGAGGCTGGGGCTGGGGGCGAGCAGATCTTGAGCCAGGGTGAAATTGTGCAGAGCTAACAAGACGACCCAGATCTTTAACCAGTAACCCCAGCCCCTGATCCGGAGGCGGTTGCCCCAAAGAAGGAAGCAAAGTTGCCTGCTGCCGCAGTTTGCGGCGAGAGCAACCAGCAGGAGGGATTGAGGAACTATTCTGCACCCTTTAAAAGGGATCATTCTGATAGCGTGGGAGGCAGTGTTCCGATTTCTTGTAATAATTAAAATATTAAAAGAGAAGAGTAAGGTGCAAAAGTGTTCAAAATTAAAATGAAATAACAATGCTTCATGGTTAAAAAAAAAAAAAAAAGAACCCCAGAGATTGACATTTTTGTGTTAAGATGATGAAATGTGGATGAACTGTGTTGGGTTTAAAGTACCACTTTATGTTATCATATTAATTCTATAAAGCTATATACTAATGACAATTTTTATAATGCCTTTCTGAGAATAAGAATTATGGATTGTGGATTTAGTGCTAAGTAAGTGCTTATATAATTGTAGGATTTATTATTGTTATTATCATTTTTTAAAGGCTTATTTTTCCTTGAAATTGGGGGCAGGGCCGGCGTTGTGGCCTAATAGGTTAAGCCTCTGCCTGTAGTGCTGATAGCGTGGGAGGCAGTGTTCACCCACGTGGGTGCCGGTTCCAGTCGCAGTTGCTCCACTTCTGATCCAGCTACCTGCAAATGGCCTCGGGAAGCAAAGTGGGCCTGTGCACCCACGTTGAGACCTGCAAGAAGCTCCTGGCTCCTGGCTTCAGATGGCCCAACTCTGGCCATTGTGGCCATTTAGAGATTGAACCAGCAGAAGGAAGACCTCTATCTCTGTCTCTACCTCTCTCTGAACTCTGCCTCTTAAATAAATAAAATCAATCTTTAAAAAAAAAAAAAGAAAAGAAAGAGGGAGAGAGGGAGAGAGGGAGAGAGAGAGAGAGAGCGCGCGCTTCTATCCACTGGTTGACTCCCTGAATGGCTGCAACAGCCAGAGCTGGTCTAGGTCAAAGCCAGGAGCCTGAAATTCCATCCAGGTCTCCCATATGGATGGCAGTCCAGATACTTGGGCCATCTTCCACTGCTTTCCCAGGCACTTTAACAGATCCCGGATCAGAAGAGGAGCAACCAGGATTCCAACAGGCATCCATATGGGATGCCAGCGTTGCAGGCAGAGGCTTAACCTGCTGTGCCACAGTACTAGCCTCTTTATTATTTTTAAATGTAATATAGAATTCTCCTTGATAATTGTTAAGTTCTTTTATAAACAGTACTGAAAGTACAGGCAAATCCAAATAAGATTGGTAGATTATATTAATCTCAATATCCTGATTTTGATATTTAATATTTTTAGATTGATTAATTTAAAGGCAGAGTGACAGAGCCATGGAAGAAAGAGAGAGAGATCTGTCCAGTGGTTCACTTTCCTAATGGCTACCATGGGCAGGGTTGGGCCAAGCTAAAGCCAGGAATCAGGAACTCCATTTGGATCTCCTACATGGGTGGCAGGGACTCAAATATTTGTGCCATCCTCCCAGGTGCAGGGAGCTGGGTTGGAAGCAGAGCAACTGGGATTGAACTGTCGTTCCAATATGGGACACTGATGTTGCAAGTAGTGGTATAGCCTGTTGCAACTACAACATTGGCCCTTAGTTATGATATTTTAAAACTGACTCTGTTAGTTTTTAAAAATTGAAATATAAGTCACATACCCTGAAATTCACCTTTTTAAAAAGATTTATTTATTTGAAAGACAGCATCACAGGGAAGCAGAAAGAGAGAAAGCTCTTCCATCTGCTGGTTCACTCCCCAAATGCCTCAATGGCCTGAGCTGTGCCAATCCAAAGCCAGGAGCCAGGAGCTTCTTCTGGGTCCCTCACATGGATGCAGGGGCCCAACCACCTGGGCCATCCTCTACTGCTTTCCCAGGCCATAGCAGAGAGCTGAATCAGAAGTCTCAAACCACCCATGTCTTGAACTTGCGCCCATATGGGATGCAAGCACTGCAGACAACCTGCTATGCCACAGTGCCAGCAAAATTCACTTTTTTAAAAATAAAGATTTATTTATTTATTGGAGAGGCAAAGTTACAGAGAGAGGGAGGGAAAAAGAGAGATGTCCATCTACTGGTTCACTCCTCAATTGGCCATAATGGTTGGGGCTGGACCAGTCTGCCGCTAGGAGCCAGGAACTTCATCCAGATCTCCCTTGTGGGTAGCAGGTGCCCAAGCATTTGGTTATCTTCCACTGCCTTCCCATGCACTTTAGTAGGGAACTGGATCTTAAGTAGAGCAACTGGGACATGAACCTGAGCTAATGTGGGTCTCTGCCATTTCAGGCAGCAGCTTAACCCGCTGACCTACAACACCAGCCCCCGAAATTCACCTTTTAAAATTTAAAAATATTTTTTCATTTTATTTGAGAAGACAGAGGACCACCGTTGTGGTATAGTGGGTAAAGCCACTGTTTGCATTGCTGCCATACCATATGGGCACCAGTTCGAGACTTGGATGCTCCACTTCTGATCCAGCTCACTGCTAATGTGCCTAGGAAAGAAAACAGTGAAGGATGGCCCAAGGGCTTGAGCTCCTGCACCCATCTGGGAAACCTGGAAAAGCTCTGGGCTCCAGGCTTCTGCCTGGCACAGCCCTGGCTGTTGCAGCCATTTAGGGAGTGAACCAGCATATGGAAGATCTCTTTCTCTCTCTCTCTCTCTCTCTCTCTCTCTCTCTCTTTTTTACTTTTAGTTATCTTTTTTTGACAGGCAGAGTGGACAGTGAGAGAGAGACAGAGAGAAAGGTCTTCCTTTTGCTGTTGGTTCACCCTCCAATGGCCACCGCGGCCAGCGCACTGCGCTGATCCGATGGCAGGAGCCAGGTGCTTCTCCTGGTCTCCCATGGGGTGCAGGGCCCAAGGACTTGGGCCATCCTCCACTGCACTCCCTGGCCACAGCAGAGAGCTGGCCTGGAAGAGGGGCAACCGGGACAGAATCCGGCGCCCCGACCGGGACTAGAACCCGGTGTGCCAGTGCCGCAAGGCGGAGGATTAGCCTAGAGAGCCGCGGCGCCGGCCTCTTTCTCTCTTTTTATCTTTCCTCTCTCTTTCTAACTCTACCTTTTAAATAAATTTTGAAAAAATTTATAAAACCACGATAATAATAAAATAAGATCATTACAAAAAAAAAAAAAAAGAAGAAGAAAAGAGAGAGAGAGAAAAAAAGAATGATATTCATCTGCTGGTTCATTCCCTAAATGCCCACAGCATCTGGGGCTGGGCCAGACCAAAGCCATGAGCCCAGAACTCAAATCAGTCTCCCACGTTGGTGTCAGGAACCCAAGTACTTGAACCCAGGCACATAAGAGATTCAGGAGTCTCAAGAGATTTCTTTTTTAAAAAATATTTATTTATTTATTTATTTATTTATTTATTTATTTATGTGAAAGGCAGAGTTACAGAGAGGGAGAGACAGAGAGGGAGAGAGAGTGAGGTCTTCCATCTGCTGGTTCACTCCGCAGATGGCCTCAACAGCTGGAGCTGGACTAGGTCGAAACCAGGAGCATGCAACTCCATCCAGGTCTCCAACATGGGTGGCAAGGGCCCAAACACTTGGGCCATCTTCTGCTGCCTTCCCAGGTACACTAGCAGGAAGTTGGATGGGAAATGGAGCAACTGGGACTTGAACCAGTGCCTGTATGAATTGCAAGCATTGTAGGTGGTGGTTTAACACAACAGTAGCCCAACAAGAGGTTTGTTAACTTTGAGCCAAAAGCTCACCCCTCACCTTTTTAAAGTGTACAGTTAAAGGGTGCACATTTGGCCTAGTGCACCAGCCATTGGCCACTAATAATCTACTTTCTGTGCCTAGATTTTCATATTCTGAATATTTAACATAAATAAATAGTATGCAGCTTTTTCTGTGTATGGCTTCTTTCCTTTACCTGTGTGTTTCCAAGATCTAGCCACGTCACAGCATCAATCATCATGGAAAAAAACAGTGAGAGAGAGAGAAAGGTTTTCCTTCCGTTGGTTCACCCCTCAGATGGCCACTATGGCCAGTGCACTGCACCGATCTGGTGCCAGGAGCCAAGTGCTTCCTCCTGGTCTCCCATGTGGGTGCAGGGCACAGGCACTTGGGCCATCCTCCACTGCCTTCCCGGGCCACAGCAAAGAGCTGGACTGGAAGAGGAGCAACCGGGACAGAATCCGGCGCCCCGACCAGGACTAGAACCTGGTGTGCCGGCGCCGCAGGCGGAGGATTAGCCTAGTGAGCCGCAGCGCCGGACAGTTAGTGTCTTTTTTGATTGTAGGCATCCTAGTGGGTATGAAGAGGTTTTGATGTACAATTCTGTGATGGCTAATGGTGTTGAATATCTTTTCATGTGTTTCATGGCCACTTGCATATCTTCTTTGCTAAAATGTTTATTCAGCTCCTTTGCCCATTTTCAAGTTGTAAGACTTCTTTATATCTTCTATATATTAGACCCTTATTGGATACAATAATTTATAAATATTTTATCCTGCTTTGTGAATTGTCTTTTTTCTTTCTTGATAGAGTCTTTTGAAACACAAAAGTTTTTACTTTTGATAAAAATCATTTTGTCCACTTTGCTTGCTTGGGCTTTTGGTTTCATGTCTAAGATATCATTGCTTGAACC